GTTCCTGAAGGTCCCTTGATCTTCTAGGAGCAGTGGGGGGAGGTCTCAGTGGGTTGCATTGGGGGAGAAAGAGGCAGGAAAGTCATCCTTTGCACTCTGGATCCAATCCAACACATTTAAACATTCCTAATTCTAAAAAAAGAACAGATATTTGAACCACAAATTAATAGTAATCTCCTTTGCTTCCAAAACAAATATATTCGCAGTTTTGTAATAAATTCATAGTTCACATTGAAGTTCTCCAGTTGTGAATCCCATTGACATGAATGGGAGTTGTCCAACAATCTGGTCTTTATAGAATACTTGTAGAAGATTTATATTTTAATCTTGTGTTCATATATAGCTAGAAGTAAGAGACACAGCCAACCTAATAGTAACCCAAGGTTCTGTAGGAGAAACATCAGCCAGGGTCGCTGTGATTGAACATGAGTCATTTCAGGAAGCTAAAAAAAGAATAAGACATCAGAATTAGAGCCAAAATAAAATAATCTGTTGGGGGGGGGGGTCTGATGGGAAACATGACATACTTTAATAGAAAAAACGTCTAAATCTCTAGTTTCTAAATAAGAGACAAATTTGTATTTTGTTTGGGACATTATATTATTTTACATCATCAGATGACAAAGTATGGGATTTCAGATCTTTTAGCATCACAATGAATAAAAGTTTATATCCATAATATTTTTAAAGATATCATTCCATGAAAAATATGTCCTGTAAGTAGTCATTCTTCTCCCTCATATTAAAGCAGCTTAAAAATTTTTGTGGCTGTATTATAGCTGTTTGAGGGTTGGTTAGCGGTGGCCAGAAGGTTGCTCAAATGGTCTTCTAATTCTTCTATTAAAATTGATGTAGCCTAAAAATACTTTCCTTTCACATTGAGTTCACTGTAATTCTCTCTTTTAGTTAAAAAAAGAGAAGAAGTATGCCATACAGAGATTCTTGGGCTGCTAACATTGGTGATAAAGATAGGAGTGGTGCGCTGGATGAGTTCTAGCGCCAACCAGCACCTGGCACCTGGTGGGAGAATGGGGGCAGAGACATGGGGGTGCCATTGGGTCTATTGGATGGCAACAGGGACTGGGTGACTGCTGGGAGGAGGTCTCCCACTATAGCAGAAGACCTGGCAATCTGTGACACTGAGGTCTGTAGGAAAATCTTCAGTTTAAAAAAAATTAAGCCTCATATCTTCCAAAATTCCCAGTACCACAAACATTCAAAAGCAGAGCATGCATGCTTCGAAGATTCTAAAGAACAAGGGACAGCTATTGAAAGCAGTGTGTATACTCAATGAGAGAAAACATGGCAAATGTGAGTGGGGAATGAGTACAACATCTTGGTTTGGTGTAGTGGTTAAGTGCATGGACTCTAATCTGGGAGAACCAGGTTTGATTCCCCACTCCTCCACTTGCATCTGCTGGATGACCTTGGGCAAGCCATAGTTCTGATAAGAGCTGTCCTTGAAAAAGAGCAGTTACTGTCAGAGCTCTCTCAGCCCCACCTACCTCACATGGTGTCTGCTGTGGGGTGGGGAGGGGAGGGGAGGGAAGGGAAGTTTGTAAGCCGCTCTGAGACTCCTTTGGGTAGTGAAGGGCGGGGTATAAATCCAATCTCTTCTTTTTCTTCTTCTTCTTCTTCTTACACTCAGGGTCTTAATGACTAATTGCTTAAATAAATTAATTGTATAAAAGGAAAGAGCCTAGAGAATGTAATGAGAAAATGTCAAGTATGCATGCCCACCCTTTGAAATATGTGCAGAATAATGTTAATGCTATTGGGAAAATTTGGAGGGAAATATGTGGACCTCTGCAGAAATAAAAATGTTGGCATAAAATTTGGGGGGAAATTTTAAAATATTAAATCTCCAGGAATTATTAACTGCCCCAATTATAAAGATATAAATTTGTATGGAAACAAATCTAATGGAAGAAAAAATCCAAAAACATTTCTGAAATAGACTGAAGCAAGGTCTGAAACTGAAAGAATGGTTAGTTAACATTTTAAATAAGACCCTGAACTTATGTACCATGCAGTACTAAACAGAGCTACACCCTTCTATCGAAGTCAATGGATTTAAAAGAATATAACTCTCTGTAAAAGACATTTTCTGTGCAATCCTAAACAGAGTTAACAACATAGAAAAAGAAAATGACTTCACCCCCCTCCCAATGGCAAACATGAAACAAATATATGAAAAGGCACAGAGCAGGTTAAATAAGCAAAAAGTAACAGCAAATACTAAGGTGAAACATAAATGTATATGATCAGGGTGTTAACACTAAAATACGAAATTTGGAAAGATAATGAATACACTAATTTGGAAAGATAATGAAAAAATTAAGGAAACTGTGGTGGAAATTGCAGTAGCACCCGTAATGTTTGCCGATAGCCACCGTTCAACCTGGTAAAGAGCAATTGAGGGGAAACTCCAGGAGCATGGCCTCTCCCCTCAACTCCTACTGCATCTTGGATACCAAAAAGCAAAAGAAACAAACAGTGGCTCTGGGACCACACCCTACAATCAGATTATTCTGCAGCATACCAAATCCTTCCAACCAGCAAATTATCTTATATCCCTTGAGATCTCCAAATATTGGAGAACCTTTACCCTTGCACATTTTAACATTCTACCCTCAGGCAGATAGCATCACGTTCCACTCCCTCTATGGCTCTGTCCATGCTATGCAGGGAACGTAGAGTCTATCAACCATGTTCTGCTACATCACCCATTCTACAATGACGTTCGATCTCAGTACATAGCCCAATTCTATCAACTCTATCAGGAAGATCTCAACAACTTCACGTCTCATCCTTCTTGCAGATATCTCCCAGGAGATAAATAAAGTAGTTATAATGGATTTTAAGTGTATTTTTATGTATTGTGTAAGCCACCCTGAGCCTGCCTTGGTGGGGAGGGTGGGGTATAAATTGAATAAAATAAATAAATAAATTTTGCCCTTGGGCATGTGGGATATGCAAGTGGCTGACCGAGTCTTAATAATAACCTCCCTATCTCCATCCCCTCAGAATCAGTGCTCAGTTTCTATTTTGTTCTATATCTTTATTTTATTTTATTATTATTTTATCCTTATCCTTATTATTACTGATCTTGTATCAAAATAAACTTTGAAGTGTAGTGGGAAAGGCAAAGAAGAAAGGTGGGGTACAATTTAGGCAGGATTATTTTCTCCTAAAATGCTACTTATAGGCCGAGTTCAGACTGGCAGTTTGGCCCGGCAGCCAAACATCTCAGGAGCATTTCAGTAGCAGATTAAAGGGGCGGGTTCACACAGGCACATCTATCAGGCGTCCCCCAGCCATACTCAAGCCGTCTTGTGCTGCTTCCCTCCTGAGTTTAAAAAGTACCAGGTGAAAGTGGTAGCAAACCATGTGTAGAGTGGGTTGATTCCAGTTCCCTGAGTGTGAACGCAAGTGCTGCTAAGACGGGAACAACCCGCAGTTGTTGATAAGAGGCACGGGCTGTTTCCACGACAGGTGCCCATGCACCCATGTGCATAGGCGCATGCAGCAGAGCACAGAAACAGCCGCTAACAGCCCGCCAGGGGCAGGCCAACAGTGCGAACGCTCCCTTGTGCTTCCTCCACAGTATTCTCCTGCTTCATTCGCTGCAGTGTAAATGGGAATACCGTGACCAGTCTGTTCCGGGTCTTATTTGCCATGACTTCCTAGCACTTCAAATTGCCAGTCTGAACTCGGCCACTTTCTGTGAAGAGAATGCCTCCGTTTGGAATAAGAATACACACACACATACACAGAGAGTTCTTTCTCTGTGTGTAATTAATCTTTTACTGATTTCCCCTCCCCCCCATGGCTAGTGGGAGCCTATGGACTTCAGTTTTAATAGCCAAAACCATGCAGAGGTAGAAGAATTAAACTCCCTCTACTGATCCAATCAAAGCCAAACATGGCAATAGTTTAACTTCAGAAAATGCTGGGAAGATCCATCTATGAATGTCGTAATGTTCTGTCTAATTTAATCATGCATATTTACTTATTTACTTATTTATATGCTGTCTCTTCAGAAACCTGCTCAAAAAAGGCAGCTTGATGGACTTGCACTTCCTGTGTCAGTGCTTCTGCCTAATGTGTAAATCCTCCCTAAATCGAAGGCACTTCGGGTACTGCATGTGAACAAAGCACAATATTGAAACCAGTTTAAGTTAAACAAGTCTGAATGTTATAAACTCTCCTGTGTGTGAAAATAAAGGAAAATGGAATCTAATCTAACAGTGCCATCTTTTCAGTGCAGTGACAGTAACTTTTGCTCCTCAGTATTATAGTAATGTGATTTTAACAGGACAATTTGTAATGAATTTTAATCTTTAAAAGATTAAGATGTACAAGTTGATATTGCAGTGCTTACCATTTCTGCTAATGATAAATACAAAAACATCCCAGCAGTGACAGTAAATATCCAGTTTTGAATCCAAGGGTTTGTTGATACTGAAAGGCCAATGTAAAGCCCTATAAAAGCAGTTAGGGCACTTATGAAATTCATTAAAATGGCAATTTTTGTAGAAAGCCCTGTACTTAGCAGTACCGCAAAATCTCCTGGGAAGACAGGAGGAAAAAGAGACATAAAATATTAATTGGCCAATAAAACACTAAGATAGAGTTCTCACTGCAAAATGTTACAGTACTTCCATACTTGACACTGAAAGAGTTGTCAGCCTCATTTGTGCAACTGATGTGAATTGTTAATGCAAAAGGCTTCAGTTTCACTTGTTCTTAAAGACAGTTTAGAATATGTCTCCAGGTGGGGCCTGGAGACTTCCTGGAATTACAACGAATCTCCAGACAACAGAGATCTATTTCCCTGCAGAAAATGGCTGCTTTAGAGAGGGGAGTCTATGACATTATATCCTCCTGAGGTTCCCCCCTCTCCAAACTGTGCCATCTCCAGGCTCTACCCACAAAATCTCCAGGAATTTCCCAACCCACAGTTGGCAACCCTATTTTCACAATGGAGGCAGTAACAGTTCCAGAGAGCAATATGAAAATGCAAAAATGGTATGGGGAGAAGCGAAATCTGCTTCTTCCCACATGCCACAGTTGTGAATATAATAGAGACACAGGCTTCCCAAGTACTTACCGTGATTCGGCAGGGGACGAAGACGTCTTCGCAGGATCATTCCTGCGGGGACAACAGACATGCTGCACCATGCCGTTGCCAGGAAGTGACGTCAGGCAACGCTTTGGCAATGGGGCCAGAAACTCGATGGTACCATAGAGTTTTCAGCCCCATTGCCAAAGCGTTGCCTGACGTCACTTCCTGGCTATGGCATGGTGTGTTACAAGGAGAAATGTTCCGGCCGGGGAGCATGTGTCTCCCGCCGGATTGCAGTAAGTACTTGGCAACCCTATAGAGACAGCATCCATCTGGGTAGCACAAAACTCCCACTGCATTTCTGATAACAAATTTATCTTGCCATCTCCCCCCAAACATGAGGACTTTGTAATTATAGATTGGTGCTAACCTGGTTGGAGGGACAGGACTGTCACTCACTTCATAAAGTGGCCATTAAGGAAAACTAGTTGCTGACCTGCAATCTACTACATGCACCTCATTAAAATGCCAACTCAGTTTCATATGTTTGTATATCTGCATGCCAGTAATATTTTATACTTCTACTAGTTAGCTGAAATACAATGAAGCTATTAATGTACATGCACACTGTAAATGGAAGGAAAATGTTACATGCTTCATTTATTCCTTTGTACTTTCATCAGTCATCAGTTTGGCAGCCCACCTACAAAGTTGCTATGACTCACAGCTGATGCCTGACCCATCCTACAAAAATCAGTGATAGAACACCATCCAGCTGCCACAGATCTTTCTTTTTCTCCTAGCCGGGATTAAAGAGCATCATTTCTTTAGAGTGCATTGTGGGAAAGTAAGTACTAATAATATACTATCATTCATATGCTAGAGTTGAACACAGTTTAAACCCATTTTTCAAGAAGGAAAAAGTAACAGTCCTTGACTTTGTGCCAGCTATAGAGAAAAATATGAACATGCTTACCCATCTCATGGGGAATTTCATGACATAAAATAGCAATTGTTGTTGTCACACCTGTTTCTGTTGCTGAGGAAAATGCCGCACCTATTACCAAGCCATCAGCAAAATTGTGTAGACTGTCACCCACCACAATCATAATGGCTAGAAAACTAATTCTTTTATCTAAAAAAAAATTCAGAAGAATTAATACTTTTAGTACAGTGCTGAAAGATGCTAGTGTAATAATGTTGCTCATTCACCTTAGTCCTGTTTGCATTTGATTATGATACAGCTTATCTGTGTATATAATGTTTTTATATAGAGTGGAAGCATTTACAGAAAGGATAGTGATCTCATAGGCTTGATGCCCCAGCAACATGTATTTGCCTATTGATTTTCTGATTCTTCCATCCTGGATACATGTTGTGCTTCAGAGAACACATTGAAAGGTGTGTGTGGGGGGGATGATTTTACTGTTATATTGTTTTTATGGGCAGCTGTTTCAAGGAGTTGGAGGACATGTTTTGTTCCATAAAATTATCCAGAATGGAAACCTTCTAAATGGTTATAAAAGAAACATATTTATGAACAATATTATGAACAAACATATTTATGAACAATAATATTGGCAGGCTAGCTACATTTCTTTGCCAACCTGCAGAACTAAACCTAGATGTCCCTGTTGCAAACAGTTGCTTCAAAAACATGAAAGATATATTACAGAACACAAGAGTAGCATGGAAATAGATAATACTGTTGCTCCATCACATGAAGTCTGTAACTAGTAATACATGCTCAAGAAGCTGAAATCCTGGCATGCCACATAATTCCATTATCTAGTTTTTAATATATGTATTCTAGCTATATATTTCTGGAATACAGGGTAAAAGCTGAATTGTGTCTGTGTGTGTGGTGTGTGTGTGTGTGTGTGTATGAGAGAGAGTAAGAGTATCAGGTTCAAAAGCAAGAAATTGCAAGTAAATAAATAGGTACCACTTCAGTGGGAAGGTAGCAACATTCTGTGCACCTTGGCGTTTAGTCATGCTGGCCACATTGACCACAAAGAAGTCTTCAGAAAGTGCTGGCTCTTCGACTTGGAAATGGAGATGAGCACCACCTCCTAGAGTCGGATTCAACTGGATTTCGAGCAAGGGAAACCTTTACCTTTAATTGTGCAAAGGCTTGCACTGTTAAGCATCCATTGAAAGACAAGTGTGTAAGATAGGACGCAGAGGCTACACATGCTGTGTGGTAGACTCGGTAGTTTGTTGGACAACTCTTGTTCAACTCTATGGTTACCAACCACCAGGTGAGTCCTGGAGATCTGGAATTACAACAGATCTCCAGATGACATCCGTTCCCCTGGAGGAAATAGCTGGTTTGGAGGGTGGTCTTGAAGGCATTATACCCCGCTGGGCTCCCTCCCCTCCCCAAACTCCACCCTCCCCAGGCTCCACCCTAGAATCGCCATGAAATTCCCAACCCAGAGTTGGCAATTCTAATAATCTTACTGGTTAAAAGTATCTTGGACAATTTAGTATTATTCAGTCTATGTTACTTCCAGGTTTGTGTGAAGATAAAATGCTCTGGTAAAGTAGAATAACAGTCTGGTTAACAACATATATTAAATGCAAATAAGTAGACTTCTGTTCACTTATGGACTTCTACATCCTCTTTGATGAGAATGGAAAATATACATTTATCTGTATAATGCCAGTATTTTCCTTTTATTGAAACCTCCCTGCATTCACAAAGAGCAACTGTTGCCACACACTGATCATCCTACGTATAGCATACTGTGATCCCCCCCCTATTTTTATTGAGTTTTAATTTTAAAAAGAATATCAAAATGCAATCAAACTAATTAAGAATGAAAGCACAAACTGTACAAAAGTACAGCTGGCATTACTGATAAGTTGCCATTACTTAAGGACAGAAAGAAGAAATTGAAAGTTCTGAGCCAGGGTGTATCCTGGTTTGTTGACAGTTTGGCTGACTTTGGTTCTTTTTTCTGTGTCCTTGATTTTTGGTCTATGGACATATGGATGTCAGTGAAGTAGGATCTCTAGCATTTCCTGTGTATGGTACAGTGCCATAGAGCTGATGTGAAACACAATATTGTTATTTTTGTATTCAAATGTGCTCTATATGGGCCAATTAATTTGTATGTTTTAGTCAATATTTCTGGATTGTAGTCCAATATCACATTGTGGAAAAACCCCTAGTTTTTGCCGATATAATTAGGATTGTTTTCAAAATTAGCTCTCCCCCATCCTTCTCCTACATCATGTTGTCATCAAGACTTCATAGTTGTTGGCTTTATCTTTCCCCTCTTTCCTCCAAGACCAACATTTCTCCGCCAGTCATAGGAAGAGCAAAAATGCAGTTGCAGGCCATCCCCACAATAAAGACTGATAGTTGACAGATACTTTGATCCCACTGTGCTCACTAGCAAACAGTTTGTTGTTGTTCAGTTGCACAGTCAAGTCCAACTCTTCGCACCCACATGGACCACATCATGCCAGGCCCTCCTGTCTTCTGCTGTCCTCCGGAATTTCGTTGCATCAATAACACTGTCTAACCATCTCATCCTTTGCCATCCTCTTCTTCTTTTAGCTTCAATCTTTCCCAGCATCGGGGTCTTCTCTAGTGAGTGCTCCCTTCTCATTTGGTGGCCAAAGTATTTGAACTTCAGCTTCAGTATCTGGCCTTTTAGAATTGACTGATTTAATCTCCTTGCACCATATCCAGCACCATAATTTGAAAGCATCTATTCTTCGGCATTCAGCCTTCCTTATGGTCCAACTCTTGCATCCATACATTACTACTGGGAATACCATTGCTTTAACCATATGGACCTTAGTTGGCAGGGTGATGTCTCTACTGTCTATTATGCTGTCTAGGTTTGCCATAGCTTTCCTCCCAAGGAGGAGGATCCAAGTGATCTTAGGTCCAAGGAACATGAGGACTATTTTGCCTTGTTCAACAGACCAGAAGATCAGTGTGTGTGTATCATTGTTTTCAGATAATTCCAGTAAATGCTCTGCCCCCAAATTATGTAACTATCTCTTTAATGCAGAAGAAGAAGAGGTCAACACGATGGGGAGAAAAGGAACAAGAGAAGATACTTGGGCAAAATTATCCCAAATACTAGTACAATTATATTACAGCAAATGGCTATACCATTATGAAGAAGAAAAGTAGGTTTTTATACCCATTTCTTTTGTACCTTAAGGAGTCTCAAAGTGGCTTAAGATTGCCTTCCCTTCCTTTCTCCACAACAGGCACCTTGTAAGGTAGGTGGGGCTGAGAGGGTTCTGGGAGAACTGTGACTGGCCCAAGGTTACCCAGTTGGCTCCATGTGAAAGAGTGGAGAATCAAACCCAGTTCTCCAGATTGGAATCCACGTTTATTAACCACTACACCACACTGACTCTCATTTTATATTATTAGAATGTGATGACTGAACAGCATGAAGACATCCAGAGACGGATTAAGATAATGACATGGAAACTGGCACTGAAGAAAAAGCAGTATTATGTCCTCGAACTGAAACAAGACCTTTCTATATAGAGGACAAAACTAAACAGTATTCAAAAGAGAATGATACTACCAAAACATTTTGGAGTCATGATCAAACTGTAGTATCATAAGAAAAATGGAAATAGGTTGATCAAAAGATTATTTTTAAAATGACATTACAAGCAAAAGTGATGACTATGGATAAGTTACAAATATTCCTATGTACTATTTTCACAAGAGACTTAGGTGCTTCTGATAACTTGCTATTGGTAGAAAGAATCAGAAAGGATCTTTAATGAGAATTCTGTGTCTGCCTGCCTGCTTGTACCTTTCGGCATTACATAAAAGTGGCATATGGGGAAAAAAATGTTTTTCTAGCCTACGTAGTTTCCATGGAGGTGTGATTTTTCTGACACACAAAAATAAAAATAGTGGCAATGGTGTTTCAAAGTATGCAACAAAATAAAGGTATGAATTAATATGAATCAAAATGGCTTCTTTGCTCCAGACAGGAAATATAAGCAACTCCTAATGGCACCTGAAGCTCTAAAATGTGTAGGTTTGTCAACTGGCCTAGAGGAAAATGTCCTATGCTATTAATAGAGGTTTAAAACCACATGAGGAAAGGTTGAAGCATATCTCTCCACATTACCATACACACCAGAGTGCATCAGGGCTCTACATGGATGTTGCCCTTTAAAAAATCCTGGGAGGATGTCAGAACCTCTCATCTGTTTTGGCCCATTATTAAAAGATGTCATTATTTTGCGTCAAATCTATGTAATGAGGATTGTGGAACACAGTCATTTAAGAAATATGTCCTGTCTGAATAACTTTCACATGTTACTTTGAGACACTGACTGCACTCTGAAGCCATTGCAAAGTAGTCATGTAAATGTCATTACCATGTACACAAGCATTGTAGCACACGGCAGCACAAGCAAAATGTAACACTAGTAAAGCTAAATTTGCAGTGGTATACAAAATGTTCATTCAAAACCAGCTCATCACATGGTGACAACATCCACACAATCATTTCAAACCATCTTACTTGGCTGGAATTAACCCTGAGATGGGTGTTTCCCTATGATTAGTGCATATTTAGATGGAAGTGCCAAAGAATAGATTCTTTTGAACTATGGTGCTGGAGAAGACTCTTGAGAGTCCCTTGGACTGCAAGGAGATCAAATCAGTCAATCCTAAAAGAAATCAACCCTGACTGTTCCCTGGAAGGCCAGATAATGAAACTGAAGTTCAAATACTTTGGCCACCAAATGAGAAGGGAGCACTCACTCGAGAAGACCCTGATGCCGGGAAAGATTGAAGGTCAAAGAAGACGGGGATGGCAAAGGATGAGATGGTTAGACAGTGTCATAGATGCAACGAACATGAAATTGAGCAAACTTCAGAGGACGGCGGAAGACAGGAAGGCCTGGCATGCTCTGGTCCATGGGGCCACGAAGAGTCGGACTTGACTGTGCGACTGAACAACAAAGATGGAAGTAAGAAAAAGCTTTCCTATTCTTGAGCTACCTGTTCATATTAAGTGTACCCTGGGCAATTTAATTCATATTAATATACAGTTCCCACAAATTTTTTAGAAGTCTCGTTACAATGCATGAAAAAAATGAGAATTTTGTTCTCACAGAATTTGTTTGTTG